TTGTTTACTCGCAAATAAAGATTTTAAAATTATATAAATTATTAATTAGCAATGCAGCATAAAGAAAAGCTTATTGAATATTATTTTTATCCGCATAGACTAGATTAAACGTAGCTTTCAGTGTGGTAGATTTACCTTTGCACAGTTGCGAGGAATAAAACTTGGCCGCATTTTCAGGTTAACCCCCCATTCACATTTTTTTTTTTTTTTGATTTGCCACTTGAACTATTGTTTACTCGCAAATAAAGATTTTAAAATTATATACATTATTAATGAGCAATGCAGCATAAAGAAAAGCTTATTGAATATTATTTTGTTACGCATAGACTAGATTCTTTTTTAACATTAAAATATAATGAAAATGTTAACTTCAAGAGGGTTGTGACTTAAATTAATATTTATCGAAATGTAAGTTACAATGAAAATTCTTTGTGATATAATTTTAAAAATTGTTTAATTTTATGCGTCTGTTCTTCGTGTTTTGTTTTAATAATTCTGACAATTTTTACCAGCTCAATTATATTTAGACTTACACCAACATAACTCGTGACGTCAATAAATTTTGCATTTATCTGATTTGGCTTTCTGGCTCACTTTGAGTCTGGCAAAGGAAGGCTTCTATAAATTAGCTGTGGGATTTCTTTCGTTCCCACTTTCACTTTGCAAACTGCTGAAGGAAGTTCCTTGAGCAATACCCTAACCCGTTTTTTTTAAACTTTAACCGTACCTCCCATTGCACTCTAGTTTACTTTATATGAACCAATTTCCGAACGAGGGGCGAGGTAGTGGAACATTTGAGAAATTGGTCATGCATTTGGTCTTGAATTTACACTGTTGAAAAAGCTTGCAATCTTTTTTGACGTGAAATTTTAGAAATAATAAGAGCAGCCGCAGGGAGCTGCTAGGCAAATGATCACGATGAGTGCTTGCTTTTATGTTGCATTCGTCTTGGACTTCCTGCCACATTCTATGATATATAACTATAAAATTTAATGTTATTATATATAGATTCCTGGATTAATCTATTGATTGCACAATAAATACATCACATGTTTCAGAGGGGTTCGCGATGTTACTGAGCATGTTTTTGAAGGTGATACTTCACTGGGTGCAAGGACTACTCAGCAGTGCTATTATGAACTGGGGGTTGGAAGGCAGGAGGCAATAGATGCAAATGTGTTAAGTGTAGTCCCTCAACTGTTACTTTTGGAGCCTTGTTCCTGTAACTTATTGTCTTTGGCAGGAATGAGGAGCTCCTGTATAGAGTTCTTGTTTTTATTAGCCGGAACTGCCTGTAACTGTAATGATAGTCATAAGTATAAGGCAAGACAAGTAAAAAGTGGCTCAGTGGGATGTGTTTTTAGAACTTCCATCATAGTTTTGGTATTTTAATAATAATTATATTAGGCACAACACTGCTTCAAATACTACATTAAAAATTATATATTTTTCTAACACAAAAAAAAAAACCTACCGCTCTAATCATATATTATATATGGTGCATTGGAGTATTTAATTTAAATAAATGGCTAGCAAATAATTCATAATTTAAAAAATTCAATTGTACTGATTGTTTCAGTAGTTAACAGTTCAAACTCTACTTTTTTTTCTGTTTTGCTAACTTCAAATTAATTATAATTATATTACTTATTAATATTATGATTAATTAATAGGACCTAGAAACATTTTAAAAAAATATGAAAATTACAATTTTTCATTCAATTTAAATTTGACAAATTACATTTTTCTTAATTTGTTAAAAAGTATTTATTACTAAATTTATAATTATAGGCACCAGTTTAAAAATATATATTTTTATATTCATGGTATTTAACTATGATACAACTACCATATTTTGAGGGAAATAAGGGAATTTTCATTCCGGCATGAATCAGTTCTGTCCATCCCATGTCAAGTAAGTATTCTATTACATTCAATAAAAATGTATATCTACCTTTACCTATAACTATAAGAACATTATATTTCTAGACAAAAGTTGTAAGGTTGTAATTTTCAGTTTTTATAAGAATACACTCCATGGGTTTAACTTGAGAAATTAATTGAAATTGAAAGGCTAAATGAAATCATTGAAAATGATGGATCAGTAACATTCCGAACCCGACTTTCAAAATTTTAAAGCAAAACTTGATCAAAGTAAACTTAAATAAAATTAACAAACGCATCTTTTTTCTTTATACCTCAATATATTTATTTCATAGTTTCTTCTCAACATTGCAACAAGAACAATGTCAAATAAATACAAATATTGTTATTACAAGTTATATTTAAACTTATATAAGTCGTCACTTGGCTTAAACAAACAAGAATCATTTGCAGTACTTTTAGTCTAAAAGAATTATAATTTTAAAAAATAAAACATAGTGTTTTAAAAAAATTTTGTTGTAGCTCATAGTAGTGGTGATTCAAAGTTTAAAAAAAAATATTATTTAACAAACATGCCAATATCTAGGCGAATGAAACTTGTAACAATACCTGTAGTAATTATTTTGCAGTATAAACTCTGTTAAAATAAGAAACAAATATCAATATCAACTGAAAATCTGTTTAAAAAAACATACATGTTTCATTATATTTTTATCATATTTAATCTTACAGTACAGTATCCTTGTGAAGTTTCCAGTCAAAATAAATAATCACTCTGGGTATTGTACAAGGATAGTGGATCCATAAAATAATCTATTTAAAGATTGTAGGCAAAGGATCAAATAATATAAAGTGCCTTGCTGTACTGTAAAGCAGCATACACTTATGGGTCTCGTTATGTTATGTAGAAATTATACTATAAAGTATGCTGTATCATTCTTGTGCTTATAAAACTTAATAATAAATGAATTAGTATTATTATATTGGCATTTTTATTTTAAAAAATTAAACCAAAAACTGAACACGAAAATTAAAATGATTGATGTGCGGATAAAATTATTTTTCATTTACTTCTTACACTGGTGAATTATTTTTCATATTCATTGTTACAAAATATTTTGTTTATGGTTCTCCGTAAGGTTTTGTCAAACTGGTCATATTTCTGAAGCCATAATAATTAATACTTAATATTGATATAGAAAAGTACCTAAGAATTATTGTACCTGTTTAATAGAATGTTTTACTTTGATATTTTAAATATTAAACAAAAGGAAATTGAATTTAAAAATACAAACTATGCTTTGTGTCTAAGTGTATATGATTTACTTTGAATTTAGGTTAATACAAGAAATCAATGGGCATCAGCACAACAGTATTTATTCATAGAAATTTAAGAAGATGAGACTATATAAAAATTATTTTTTTTAAATAAATCTAAACATGGGTAGCATAGGAATAGGAAGTTTAGGAGTGATACAATTACTAAAGGCTTTTAAAATCAAATGGATAAAATATGCACATATTTAAATACCAAAAATGATGTTTAAAAACAGCTAAAGATGTTAAATATTTTTAAAAATTTTAAAACTAATTTAATTAAAATTAATTTAAGGAATTTCTGATGGGAAGGCATTGAAATTTGTTGCAAACAGTTTTAATGGTAGACTTAACATTTATTTTTATTTTTTTATCTGGTTGGAAAATTTAATTTATTGGATTTTTTTTTCAAATGCGTTTAATATTTGTAAATTGCGATTTAAAAAAAATTAAATAATATAATTTCAATTGGTTGGCTGATAACTTGTATATTTTAAGTGAAATGATGAAGCCTGAGAAGAAGAAAAAATCTTTCGTAGAAGTTTTATAGACTCATAAAATACAAAGTAAGTTCACTAAATATAACTGGTATGGACTAATCTGATCTTAAGTTTCTTTTCTTGGTAAAGACATACACATTTATAATATAATCTTCTTTTTTTAACTTCAATTAAAAATTCATTTACGGGTTAAAAAAAATATACATACACAATGATAGATGTTTGAAATAGACAAAGCCGCTTTTTGAGGTGTTGATAAATAATGCAACACCAAGATGATGCACAGGGCAAACCTGTTCATTTTGATATGTTTAAAAATAGAAAGGTTACTGAAATGAATTTACAGATAATATTCATTAGTTTCACTTCACCCTGACAAAATTCATTAAATCATTTGATTTTTGCAACAAAAAATGTATAATATTAAGGTTTATTTAAAAAATAACAGTTAAAAGAATTACATCTTGAGACAATTAAGTACTGGTAGAGTGTTACCGGTATCCATAAAAGATAACCACATGACTGTGGTGAGGGAGTTACATTTGCATTGTAATTGTAAATTGACTTCAAAGTTCACACATCACAGGGCAAGTCTCTCATATTATACAGCTTTAGTTAGGTTTTTTTGTGTGTACCAGGTAACATACCGGGTACCAATTTATGAAATTGTTTCAGTAGTCCCATTGCACAACACTGATATGGGACTTGCAATAATGTGTGGAAGATTTATTATCTATGCTCCACATAATTAAATTAAGTTTTCTATGAAGTTTAAGTATAGGTATTGTTTGTTTTTTTGTAGGTGCTTATAAAATTCATTCTAAGTGTTGAATCAAACAATGCACTGAGGGGAATGGATTTATGAAAATCAAGTCAGAAGTTGGAAGGGGATGTTTCTAAAAATGCTTGATTGATTTCCTTGACATCTTTTATGGATGACCCATATTCAGAAATACCATTTACCACTAATCTTAAAAAATAATGATCTATGAAAAAATAGGGATACCTGTATTATTTATACATCAGGACTATACAAATTTACAAATATTGGCAATGACTAGAAACTTTTTACTTAAGAGTAAGTTACAAAGCCACTGTTTAAATTCATGAATAGTTTGAAACTCCAGTGACATTAGCTGTGTGATTCATATATTATCAAATGCTAACATTTAGAACTAATAAAACAAGTTATCTATTGCAGTACATGACACATCACAAAATATCAACTGGCAAATACATAAGATGTTTAAAGGAAATGCCATTTTAAGTGTCAAAAGCTGCACTTATTGTTCACAATTGTGCTTCCATAAATATAACAAAACTAAGTAACAATCCTGACCACATAATTTTTTTAGCATTGAGATACAACAATGCTTTGTAAAGGTACCAGTGCTCAAAATGAAAGGTGTTGATTGGATTAGGGTATTTTTTTTTGGGTCCTTCAAACAAAACAAACAGCAAAAAAATGTTTACCTGGTAATTTGTTAATCTCCAGCTGAGACTGAAATTTACTAACCTCCATTTAAATGTACCAGTACATTTGCTTGTTTTAATTTGAAATAAAATTTATTCACAACATCAAAATTAACTGATTATTGAGGATTATTACAAAACTTGAGGTTTTTGTTGATAAAAAAAAATTACATTTTATTTTGTTGGGGGAATAATGTCTAACCATATATTCAAACTTAACCTTACTATAACAGTAATAAAACTTATTTGAAGGAATGAATGAGGTTAGTGTCAAAAATGGTTAAGGGTGCTGGGAGAGGTGGGCTGGGGCATAAAAATTGAATACCGGTATAGGAAATGTTTGTGTGCATCATATATAGATGACCCCAATCTCTAGAAAGTATGGCAGTTAGTCAACATTGCCTAATGATTAAATAATTATTATGTTTATTAAATTATCAGAACATCATGATTAAATATTCCTTTGTCTTAACCTCCTTACTACGCAAATTATTTTCGACTTCCTGGGTAAAATTTTATGAGTGACATTAACTTTGGAGGCAGATGTGATATTTGCAATAGGTTCTGAACAATGGATGTTAGTAGTACTGCAGAGGTTAATTAAAATAGAATAAATAAAATATAAAGAGATCGATTCTTAGAGGTCTATACTGAAATGGTTTCACAGTACTACAGTACTTTGATGGTCTGAAAGTTGTCGATGCTTAAGAAATAACATATGTAATCTTTTAATAATACCTAAAAACAACAATTATGAACAAAATTTCAATTCACATTTTTGCCATTTAGATCACAGGATTTTGTAGCCACCATTAGATTTCCCTTGTGTCATTTTTTTAACACTCCGTGAGAATCGCCCATATGTTTAAAAAGATGTCAGCACTTGCAAGGCAATTCATTGCTAACTCTCACACTCTAAAATATTTTATCCTAGCTCTTCCTTCAGAGTACCAATGGCCCTTTTTGGGGGCAGATTATAAATTCCCTTTTATGTTGTGAGAGGTAACTAAAAATGAATACCCGGTATTGAAATGATTGTGTTGTAGTCATAGTTCTTATTTCAAGATAAGATTCTACCTTAAACAATGTCACACTCACACAAAGGTAATTTTACTATTTTTTGTAGTTCCATAAATAATCTTATAGATGAATTTGGAGTAACATTTAATGCATTAATTCATTAGAATGCATAAAATGCTGAACTGATGGCTGCCAGTATCCTTCATGAATAAGTTGTGTAGAAATATTCAATAAAATCCTATCACAATTAGGTTTTTAATGGTCATATTATCTAAACACCCTCTTTTATTGTACTAGTAGTTATAGAGCTGCCTTTAAATGGTTAAAGCTTTGGAGCTGTAACTTCTGCAAGTGTTCCAAATAAATTATTTCCAAGCTCACCATTCAAATTAACTGTCATGTCAAAACAACTTCACTTCCAGATTTACAGCACATCCCTGCCTGACTTGGCTAGTTAGATTGCTATAAAACTCCATGCAGCAATGACATTCATAATGCCATTCTCCTTTTTACTGTGTTTTTATGCTCATTTACATAAATGTCATGGATCTTGGCTAGATTTTTTTCAAGAATCCACCATGAGAATCCATATCTGATAAAAACAATTCACACATTTAATTACAGTTGTGGTAGTTAACTGGAACCTTGTGTCATGTTTTGATCACACTTTGAAGATCATCAGGCAGTGTGGAGACAATGTCCTCTAATTGTTTCTGTAAACGAAAAATACTTTCCTTGCCCACTATACCATGGTTGTGATTAGCAAAAGTCTGAAAATAAAAACAATAAACTTTTTTATATACTCTGCTGCTACTCTAGTGTAAATTATAAAAAATGAATATCCAGTTTAAAAGTAAAAGGCAGCTGAATAGTTTTTTTTCTCTTCCTACTTCATAAAAAAAAATTTTGCAGCAGAAAATAAACATTAACCCTTTCAGTGGCATTACTGCTTTCTGGCCTTTACATTTCAGTATTTTCAGTTGCATTAAGGTCTAATCCAGATGTAAGGGACACATCATTTTAAACATTGCCTCATGATAGTAACTTTATTTTTTAAAGAGTTACAGTTACAAAGAACCTATTTATAAACAGGAACGCCTGTTTTGTTGGGGTTTGGTGGCTGTGCTCTGGATTTTATGTCACTTTTGATTTTTTTATTTTTTTTTAAATAGTGCTTTGTAGATCTAAGTTTTATGGCGTTTGCCCTTCTAGATCGCTTCAAAATGCAAATACCTCTACCATTAGTATCGGCAGTATTGAATTTATTAAAGCAGAAATAGATACCGGTAATGAAATAGAATGATTTTGTTATTGAATTAGTTCAACATTTTTATATCCCAGATGGGTCAGAAGATAATCATAGATCTGACTCAACTAACCAATTGCGTTTATTTTTAACCTGAAGAATTTTAGGTGCAACTGGTCCTTATGTAGACTTATTTCAATTAAAACTCATATTTTCTCTAAATTTATCTGTATATTTTTGTATTACTAGCTTTCTGTTTTCGGTTCAGCAGAAAGAAATATTATGTCACTAAATTATTTCATAAGGCCCTGAAGCAAACAAAAGTAAATATTGACTAAAATTATCACTAAGGCAACTACACTAAAATTACTGTTGCTGTGTCTAGCCAATTCATAATGAAAACAAACCAACAATATGAATATGACCATCATAACAAAAACATGGTGGTGCTTTTATAGATTTCTTATTCTATATTTTCTTCTATATTTTGAGGGCCCACGATCAATGAATTGATCATTCTGGCTCCTATGTTTCAGATGGGTTCGCGATGTTTCACAGGTTACTGTGCATAGTTTTGAAGGAAATACTTCACTGGTTGCAAGGGCTACTAATAAAGATCAATACTCAAAAGGGTCGAGATTCAATCTCTTAGGACCCTGGACACGATTTCCACGGCGCGCCTCATCTGCTGGGCGCTTCCGTAAAGGAGATCATTTAGGCAGGTCTCCGAATTCCTACCGTCGGCCCCCGTCCCACTATTCGGACACGTGACAACCAAGTGGGCTACTGTCTCCTCTTCGAGTCCACATTATCGGCACAAAGGTTCCCTTCTGTTGTCGAGTCTGTGGAGATAACTGCGCGTAGCGCAGTGCCCAGTTCTCATCTGTGTGATAAGGCTTTGTTCTCCACGACTAAGCTTCCACCATGGGTCGCTTTTGCTCGGCCGCTGAAATTTCTGGTAAAGCTGTCGTCCAGTAGTGGCCGTGTCCCACTTTCCGTGCCATTTTCCCTTGAAATGGTCTTTCAACCAGGCAGTGACTCCGAGCTGAGTCATGGGTTTATCTGGTTGAGGTAGGGCTGCGCCTTCTTGGGCTAAAAAGTCTGCCCTGTCAAGAAGCGACGCCTCTGAGCGCGAAGTGATAAACTGTAAGATTACCTTAGGGCCATGTGCTTGGATGGAGCTTACTGTCTCCAGAATGGCAGTGATCTTTGTGGAGCCCACCGATCTCTCCCCCATGAGTTCGAGAGCAGAACGAGAGTCGGTGAAGACCACAACGTCCGGGAAGGACTTTCGTTTCGCCAGCCTTTGGTTTAACCTCTTAAGAGCTACCAGTATCGCCTCAATTTCCGCATCGAGGCTCGTTGCATTCCTACCGCATGGGCCTGATAGCTCCTCGGGTGGAGCTATCTCTGCGGGATACTGGATGAGGACACGGTAGCCGCAACGCTTTTCCCCCGTGAAACATGAGCCGTCTGTAAAGACTTTAACCAAGCTGTTCGGGTAGGCTTCAATCGTGCGTCGTACAGCCTCTGATGGTTCTAATTGAGGACTGCCTTCGCTGGCTTTGGTGTCAATCATTTCCAGTCGGATGTCTGGTAGGGGAAGGCTTTTGTGAGGCCCCCGCGCGGGGATCACTTTCACCACTTTTTCCCTGTTTCTGTGCAGAATAACGTCTTTTTCAAGACTGTGCACCATGTCCTTGAAGGATGGTCGCTTCAATCTGGACTTTTTCTCCCATTCGTCCTGCAGTGGGAAACAGGGATCTTCTCTTTCCATGCGGCGGTAACGTTCTACCGTCGCAAGGACTTCCTTCTCCCGCCTGACCTCGAGCGGTTCGACATTGGCCATGATCTCCACCGCCGCCGTGGGTGTGGTCCGTATTGCCCCGCATACAAACCTTAGAGCACGGTTTTGGATGCGGTCCAGTTCCTTTAGAGCCGTTTGGCTCGCGAAGGCTAGGACGGGCAAACTGTAGTCCATTGTTCCTCTCACACTGCTAAGATAGAGCGACCTCAACAGTCTTGCATCTGCACCCCATTTAGTACAAGCCAGCTTTTTCACCAAGCCCAGTTTTTGTAAAGCCTTGGCGCACAGTTCGTGTACATGGCTACTCAGTAGTGCTATTATGAACATGGGGTTGGAAGACAGGAGGCAAAAGACGCAAGTGTAGTCGCCTCAACTATTGCTTTTGGAAGCTTGTTCCAGTCCGTTATTGTTTTTGGCAGGTATGAGGAGCTTCTGTACTGAGTTCTTGTTTTTATAAGCCGGAACTATCTGTCGTGGCCTCGTCGCTGTCTAGGGGGGAGATGGACGAGTTCTGTTTAATGCTGGAGCAGTGGACCAGCCCATTATTGATCTTGTACAACATGGAGACCCTGGATAGTCGTCGTCGTTCTTCCAATGGTGACCAGCCCAGTGTTTCCAGCATGCTGCCAACACTTGAGGTGTTTCTATAGCAGTTCAGGACAAAGCGTGCTGCCCGTCGTTGGACCGCCTCCAACCTGTCGATGCTCTTCTTGGTAAATGGGTCCCAGACTGAAGATGGGTACTTTAAAAGCGGCCGGACAAAGGCTTTATAATTTATAGGCTTTTTCTTTCATGCTCGAGTTGCCATTCTTCAAATTTTGCCTTAGGAACCCTAGGGTCTTGTTTTCCCTGTTGCACACATTGTTAACGTGATTGTCCCAGCGGACCTCTCTCTAAATGGTAACACCCAGGTACCTAACAGAGAAAACGTTGCTCAAGAATATGGCCATGCAATTCGTAAGGATGGTGTAGAGGGGATCTGCTTCTGGACACTGACAGGGTCTGGCACTTGACGGGATGAAATTCCATGTCCCAGCTCATCTCCCACTCTGCTAACCGATTTAAATATTTAGAGCCCCCCCACCCTGCAACCCCTATACAAAAATCTCCTAAATCAACAACACCATCTTTCCTTCTCAGGGCAAATTTAAAATCATATTTCTCTATTCATTCACTGCTGGAAGTAGAAAGGAGCAAAAACTAACAACCCAAAATGTACTCTTTTTTTTTTTAAATCAGAAAAACTACCAGAATGTACATATTTTCAACCATCTCTTAAAATTGTAGATCTGACAGGTCTTGGCTTACAATCGTAAATGAAATTCAAAGTTGTAATAGTGAACAGGTCTGACGTTACGATACTGAACGGTTTAAATAGATTTCTTTTCTTTAGACTGCATTACTTTTTCATTGCGAATAATTTTTAAAAAAAACTTAATCTTATTACATACCAGTTTTTCTTTTATTTTAAGAATGAGATCAACAATTTCTACTTCTTCTTTGTCAACAATCCATTCTGAGAGGTTCTGAAAACATTTAAATACATTTCTTTACTGGTAATTGACATAGTTTCTAACTGAATTTTACTGGTAATTGACATGGTATCTAACTGAAACTTAACCCAAACATCATACAGTTCATCTTTTATGCAATCCCTTTTAACAACTTGGCATAAATCAGCATTGCACTTTTATTAAATGTGTCTTAAAAATCTTAAAAAGCTTCTAGAATTATCAGAGCATTAAAATAAAATATTTGTTACTTACAGCATTGCTTAGTGCTTCTAGATGGAGAAGTTGCAACTTTTGATTCACTTCTTTCTGTCTTTGATAATACCAGCCTTCAAAATTTGGTGATCTAAAAAAGCGCCTAAGTAAATGTAAAAAATTGAACTAAAAAGATATGAAATTAAAATGAAATATTGCAAAAAGAGTTAAAGAAAGATGCTAAATCTAAATGATTTTTAGAATGATGATAGAAAATTAGCCACTACAAAAATGTTCTGAAATATATATAAAAGTAGAATTAACATTCAAGGTAGGCTCACTAAAAACTAAACCTTGCAATTGTCACATGGCCTTAGGTAGAACAGTTTGCCCACTTTCTGCTTAGTTATATATAACTATACAGTATTAAAACACAGCATCGAATCAAGTTTTAGAATATCATATTGAAAATTCGGAACTATTGCTATTGTTAAATCTGTATACATCATGGCACTTTGGGTTTAATTTATTAAAGCATTTAAAGGAGTTTATGAATGGAAAAAAGGCGAGCTTAATTATTTTTTTTAGACTGATAGATTTGTAACTAGACCATCAATTAAATAGTGAACTGAAGTATTAATCTATGATTAAACTGTCACTTGAATTCTCACATATTTAAAAAAAAATAGACTTCAGAAAGATTACCGGTAACAACAAAACTTACCTATATAAAGATTCCCAATCTCCTTTGATTCCACATGTTAACTGAGGACCTGAATGTTCAACTGTTTCTAAGAACTTTTCAGGGTCAAATGGGCGAAGTCTTGGTGGACCCTATAAAAAATTTTATGATTATGTTTAGTAAAATACAAGCAGTTATTTTAAAAAGTTTAAAAATTATCAATATGTACAACTGAGAAGTAAAAAAATTCCAGGTTATTTTTTTCTTCACAAATTTAATGCATGTAAGTTTTCAGGTACCGTACTGTGATAGTTAACTACATGTTTCAAAGTTGTGTCACCCTTGTAAAAAAAAAGGTCCAGCTAGGAGGCTTAATAAGGATTTTCAAAATATTAATTTTGTATAAAATATCCAGTCAGATTGTTTAGAATAAATAAGTATAAGTTAAGGCTGAAACAGGCTGCATTCATAATAAAGATTATATTGAATGAGAAAAAAATATCCACAGAGAATGTGTCAGGCAAAACTTTTTAGGAAGTAAGAATGTTGATTCCAAAATATAGGACATAATAATTTGCCTCAAATATTTACCTAAAATGAATATAGTTAAAAGGCAAATACAAATTTTTACCTTGTGGGGTGAAATATTTCGTTGGAGTGGCATCAAGCTTGCCATGTACCTTTCCTAGGAATAATCAAAATAGTAATAAATACTTCATAAATTTAAATTTTGTCAACTTTTATATGAATATGAGCTTTATAAAAAAGATTTTTTTAAATGCAAATGTATAAAATGGGATGGACTAAAAATAGAAGACACCTTTCAACAAATGAAGCTCAAAAAAGGTGAACATTTTTTAACCTATGCATTCATCATCTCACTCCTGTACCCAACACATCTAGAGTAACACAAAAAAATTTTTTTCAAAATAATTAAAATAAAGTAAAGCACAGCAGAAACTTAATATAGACTATAGGTTGATGGAATCAATAATCTTGTAGATATTATATTTTATTAAAGCAGAAATAGTTTTAAAAATTTAAACAGATGATTTGTTCTTATTCATGTTTACAAAATTAGCATTTATTTTTTTAAAAACAATTTTAGGTATGGCTATAGGAGTATAATGATAACAATTTCTCTTCTGTACTTACTAGAGGAATCATAAAACTTTGTGTCACTTCTAAGAGATGCCTCCTCAGAATTGCATTTTGTGCCTCAACAGGTCTCTTTGACTGAGCACCCTGTAACAGATATAAATATTGAAAAGTTATTTGATGAAAAAGCAAATAAATTTCCAGTGTGAAAATATCTTTTTAATTTTCAGTTTATGGACATAGTTAATGCATTATTTTTTTGAATTTCTAAATTTAAAAAATCAAACCAAACTTTTTTTTAAACAGTCATCATTACTATAAATTCTGACAGTAAATATAACCAGAAATGAAAAATACTTTCAGCAGAATCCTAACAAAAAGCCTGAAACATAAAATTTTATTCAATTTTGCCTTTTTAATTTTTATTTATGTATATATATTTTTTGTTAGCAATTAATGATTAGCAGACATTTTGAAAGTTAAATCAAAACACTAACCAAATAAATCAAAAACTTACTTTCATTAGTCTCTTCAGTATCATTTTATCTTTGGTGAGAAAAGATTTGTAGCGGGTGTAAACTCCTAAACGAAAGAGAAATGATTTTAAAAAGAATATTCTTTTAATTCCCTTCCTCATAAGAATCAATAATTGTGAATGGCAGAAATTTGTCCCGAATGTACTGAGTTTTCAGTATAAATTATAAATGTCACATCCATAAATACTAGCAGACATTAAAGTCTTTTATTATAACATGTTTTTAAGATATTGATAAAAATACTTTTATGTGTTAAAGTAAAAAAAAGAGCCGAAGTGTTATTGACTAAAATTAAATATCATTACATATATATATTTTACACAGATCATGGACTATGGTAGTTCACTTTGATTTTTAGATATTCATTAGTAGATCACTAATACTCTTCCATGAAGGAATACTATTTTTGAAAGGTATAAATCAAAATACCACAGACATTTCAAAACAAATATTAAACTTGAACAAAATATAAATATCTGACAATATTTGTATGAACTCAAGTTGAGTAATATGCATTTAAATTAAAATATGGGTGACAATGGTTTTACAGCAATCTGTAAACTGGAACAAATTTTAAAAATAACAACCAAAATTTTCTTTACATTGGCAAAAAAATTCCCTGTTTAGAATTTACACAATTTACAACCCTTTAATAAGAAGCATGTTAATAAGACAAAGTAATTAGTGAATTTTACAACAGCTAAATCTAACTTTTGAGTAAGGAAAAAGCTTTTTTTTTTCAAAGAAACGTATAAACACAAATAACATTTAAGCCATTTATTTACAGGCATTACACATAAAGAGTTAGTATAATTAATGCAACATTTAAAACAAAAAGATGTGGAAATTTCAAAATAAGGATGATTTCATAAAACCTGATTTAACCTTTACTTAACCCTGTTAATAGTTGTTTCAAAATAAGGATGATTTCGTAAAACCTAAAAATTTACCCTCTACTTAACCCTGTTAATGGTTATATCAAAATAAGAATGATTTCTTAAAACCTAATTTACCCTTTCCTGAAATTTGTTGTATACAGTTTAAAAGCAATCATTCTTTCTTAATTAAGAAATTATGAATATGACTTAGCCATAAGGAAAAAAAACATTGTATTTTCCGGCATATAAGATGACTTTTTAACCCAAGAAAATCTTTTCAAAAGTCAGGGGTCGTCTTATACACCGGGGGTCATCTTATAAGCTGGTATACGGCGTGCTGAAACTTCAGGGACAGGTGCCCTCTAGTTCCAATTTGGTTGACAGCTTAGAAAACAAACAGCATGGCAGCTCCCATGGGTTTATTGTCTTATCCTTCCTTTAAGCTTTAGAAAGTTAAGAAGAACTTTGAGGAAGTGAGTGGAACTAAAATTTCAAAACTAAACAGGAAAAAGACATGGCAGCAACTTAAAATTGTGGATTTGGTTTATACCGTTATGGAGTCAACGTACCAAATATGAAAAATAAATTAATAACAAGATTTGTACTGAAGAAGGCATTTGCCGAAACATTTACTTTTGAATTTTGTAAAATCATTTTTAAAGCTGAACATATATTGTTTTATTTGCATATGTTGTTTGTGTCTAATTAATTTATTAATCCAATGGCCACTGCAATATGTAATTTACTAACTTAAAATTTAATGCACATGAGTACGCTGTTGTACCGGTAATACCATATTGAGGCATTTTAATCTCTTGAATTTAGTTTGATATCTTTTTCTCATAGTTTCTATGTTAATTCTGATAGAGTATGCATTTAGGTCTACAAAACACATGAAATCTAATAACTGTAACTGAGGATGTTATAGTTAAATATATTTACAAAAAATATTATACATCTATAACTATAAGTACAAGGTGAGGTTTTAGCAGATGTGAAAACATACACAGTGAAAATTGATGTAAGGGTTAACTTAATTCAAAACAGTAAACAGTATTAAGTAGCACTAATTAAAGCAACAAATAATTTTTTAAAAAGAAATTATCCAAATTCATCAAAGATAGATCATTAGTCTAGTCTTTCAGTTATGACATGTTTTGGTTTTTAATTTTATAAATGAAACAAAATATATTTTTAAAGAATATTAGTAGAATTTAAAATATTATTCTTAAATTTAAAAACTATTGTTTTCCACAGACCAAAGATTTGAATATATCAGGCTTTTAATTTGTCTTAAATTGTTAAATGAAAAAATAAGAAACACTGCATGCATCGTTAAAGATCAGGGACAAACCTGGATTTGAATCCAATGTCTTCAATGCAGTTGCTTTCTTTACTTTGTTGGCAAGTTTAGGAGAGCTCCCTTCAATAATACGGCAAAGAAATTGCTAATTTTCTAAAGAACTTTCACTTATTGATCCAACTAACAACAAATTCGATAAGACCCGCAATTGTCAAACAAAAAAAAAATAATTTTAAAATCTTTTTTTTTTCTTCTTCAATATGTATCATGCATGGGAGCATAAACCGAGAAATGCAAGCTTAAATCATGAATTTTCTTATTTATCATTTATGATACATTTTTAGAACAAAATCACATGAAATAATAATTGTAAAGGGGAAGAAAGAAAAAGAAAATAATAGAGATATTGATTAAGTAAAATATGTATTTAAATCCCAAATTAGTGATGTTGATTTTAAAAGCAAGAATGTCAATTAAAATTTAAACCCAAAGTTTTCAGTAGTTAGCATTTTATATAATCCATTTTATGACATGCAGCAATTCTTATGCAAGTATTGAGCTGAAATGGCTTCAAAATCTTACCAATAGATCCCATTTCACCAATCCTTATAATGTGAGGCCAATGTTGTAAAGTTTTGGCAAAAAACGGGTTTGTAACTCCAAGAATAACTGGTGGTCTATAGTGAAAACAAAGACTTTATTATTAGTCAATAATTTAACATCTAGGAAGATATTTACTCAATGATTTTATATAACTCATATAATATAACAATAACATAAAGATATAAGTACTTATTTTTTCCATTGAAATATTTTAAGGGTTCCAAAAGAAAAATGTCTAAACATCAGAATAAGATTAATTTATATGACTCAGTACATACGGAGCTTGTGTTCTGGTTGTGTATTCTTTAAATTCACTATCATGTATGGTAAAGTAAGGCCTAAAGTCGCTGCAAAACTTGAGAGGTGCTATCATGCTGTTAAAACAAAAAGAACATGAGAAATTTATACAATGGATGAGTTGGCACTTAAAAAATTTGAAGCCTGTTAAATTTAAAGTTAATATACCATTTATTTTTTAGGTCTTAAAAGTTAATTCTTAAAATCAATTATTTAATGCTGCCATCACTCACTGAATTAAATATCAAACTGAAATGTTTTTCAAATATGTTAGGGCTAGAATTTAACGTAATGATTTTCTATTGTAAAATAAATAGTTTAATTAGTCTCAAATAGGCTAGGTCATTTTTGACAAGTCATAACAGTTTCCATTTAAAAAGCCGTAAACTGAGAAAGCTTTTTTAAAGTCTTTTCACTGATAAAAATTTTTTAATGCCCACAAGTCAATTAAATTTTAAAAGGAATTTACTTGACTAGTGCTTGGACTGTGCTGCAAGTAACCGTAGGCGATGAAGCCATGACTACAATTGGCTGTTGAAAGTTACATTTGAAAACATCTATAAAGCATCTTATAAATCTGATAAATATAACATTCATAAATAGAGTTACGAAGGCTGAGATAAGAGTGATCATGTAAATTTCATTACTTTGTATATTAACAGCAGAATAACTTTATAGTTGTAGAACATGTGGAGTTTGATCAAATAGCAAATCTAAGGATATACTTTGCCCTACAGACAGGCTATTTAAAATATTAATTAAGCTTATAACAATAAACATTTACTTTGGTAGAAAAAAGCATTTAAATTTAACAAATAATTGTTCTAAATAATTCAATTAATTAAAAATTAATTTAGTACCTCTCCTATAAGAACTAATTCCCAAAGAAGCTGTACATGAGGTAGTATACTAAGAAATGCACTGAAAAAAAATATTGAAATTTATGAAAAGCAAATTCTTGAATAAATACAGTGCTTCCTTTTTCAGATACGGTAACCAATAAAATGCATCTTAGATTACAGTCATTTGTTTATAAAAAGATAAAAAAGGGAACATTACTGAAATTATTTTACTTTCATATCAAACAATTAATGAAAGGAGAGAAACTTCAACAGAGTGCACTCATCATGAAGTCAATTTTAAAAGTGGTAAACAAATTTAGTTTTCATAACATGTCAGTTAAGAAAAGTGCCCTACTAATCCATATTTTTGGAATTAAAAAATAGAAGTTACGATAATAACCCACAAATGAAATTTTTAGTTAAAAGCCAAACTTTTACTTATAAGATTGAGCATCGACTCTTGTCTGCTCAATATTAAAGCAATAAATGTAGTACTTTCCCCACATCAAATTAGCATTTCATACTGACAGGGATTTTTAACACTTTTAGCGTATTTTGAACCATAATACATGAGGTGTAAGCTATCATTTTTGCATCATCCTTTTTGTTAGTGTGCAGAGATATATTTATGAATTGATTTATTAATGAAACTACAATAAAAAAAAACATGGCCACTGATCTACCGTACTTTAGACTATGATTTTTTGTATTATTTAAAACAAAAAAATGTATGAGACATTTGTTTAAGTATACAGTCCAAATACCTGTAAATATCAACTTCGTGTAAAGATGGTAGAATAGTGTGGGCAGGAATGGCATGCTGCAAATTATGATAACATTTTTAATACCTGCACATATCATACATAATTTATATGAACAAAGAAGTATTTTATTTTTTTATGGTACTTTAAGAGCAAAATAAAAATATTTTCCAACAAAGAAAATAATTTTCTGCATTTATGCTTTGAAAAAAGATTAAGACATAAGAAATTTTAAACATGAGTTACAATTTAATATAATGAAAGGTGTAATTTATGAATAAAATTAGAATATTCTAGTCTCCTTTTCAATTATTTTAAGTAAACTTTACACAGTATAGTTAAATGACTTAAGCCTACGATTTCAAATTAGAGCCAAATAGCCAATCAAATTAAATTCTGAAATTCTAGGAGTAGACAAACGTCTCAATCTTTTAAGGCACTTCTGCCCTTCCAATAATAAGGTTATAAGAATATAACATGGTCATTAGCAAATTATCAAACAAGTAGTGAATTACATTTTTTTTAAAGAAACTTCTGAAAACATTTCTAATATTATTATAATTAATAATCCATGGGTGTTGTGTTGCAACATAAAAATAATTATTGTAATAAAAGCATATATTTATGACCAGCATGCAGTTTTCTGGGTCTGTAATTTAACTGCAAATAAAATTAAACTCTTTATGTAGCTATGTTATCTATACTTCCAATATATATTACCTATTATAGATTTGGAGGCAACATAATATGACATGTGCACTAAACAACCTTGTGTTTTTTCTGTAACTATTATTATGTGAACATTTTGTTACTCGTTTCATCTGCAATTTCCACCAACACCAATATTGTCATTTGATAAGTAGTTTTTGATATGTTACTATCAAACAATATACTTTTGAAGTAATATTAATCAGTACAGTTAATACTAATTGCAATTATTTTAATGTATGCCTTAACAATTTGCCAGGAAGAATGCCAGGTTATTTGGCCACTGGCAAATGGGCAAGGCTATTTCCAGTAGAGTTGTACTTTTGTACAATTTGATGCATGTGAGAATCTTGTTTTTTATGCATGAGACTTTGCAACATTATATTTGAATATTAGACTGTACAAAATTCAAAAACTTTTTCTGTTAAGAAAGAAGGAACAAGTGGGTAGATATTATTGAGAGGTGCAACTTGTGATTTTTCCTACAGACTTACTAATTCTAGCCAAACATGAAACCATGCATATTAAGATGGAGAAATAAGACAAAATAAAAGAATTCAATACAGTTAAAGTGATGTAATTATTTACAAAGAAAACTCAATTAAATTAAAGAAAACTTGAAAAGATGTGTCATTGCTGTTATTAAACTGAATAAGGTACATTTCATTACTCTTGGCCAGTCTTTTTAAGAAATGAAAGAAAGTTTGTAGCTTTTATTGCATAAATCCATGGTAAATTTGTTAACCCCAAATTTGTTTGGAGGTTTATCCTATTAAACGTTCTTACCATCTGCCCAGTTTTGGGCTGTGCTGAGCCTATTAGCTTGTCAGACCTACATGGAACTCGCACCTGATAGGCCAGAAAATAAATTTGCAAACAAAAATGATAACAAAAAAATTTTTAACAGAGGCTGCTTTTTAAAAATAATAAAATAAAACAAAACAAACCCACTCTGGCATAATAGGATACATCAGTATAATGGACGGTATTAGATACAAGGCTGCTTCATGTAAATAGCATTTTATGTATGTTACACAACACTAAAGGTTATCAGCATAGAAGCAAAGGTGCTAGATTTTTAAATTTTTTTAGAAAGGTCTTATGCACAGAAAGTTATTATGAATTATCTTATTTTTTATTTAGAATTATTAAAAGTTTTCTTTTATTGACACAAAAAATTAGTGTAAGAACTTGCAGCTAATACCATGGTTTTTGTGAACAGGCTTAAACAGTGAAAATCCAAAAGGAAATGGTTGCATTAATAATTTTTATTCATAAAATAAAAAGATAATAAAATTTACCAGATATATATATATTTCCCTATAATTACTCACAAATAATTCTTATTGATGAGAAAACTGAGAAAAAGCATTATTAAAAAGTGATTAGCTTTTGGTCCTATAATATATTAATAATTGATAAGGAGAATGTATGCTTATATATATTAATATATATACCAAGACAGCATTTATAATGTAAGTCTGCAAGATTTTTTTTTTCTTCAAAAATAATATTTTCTAAGTGGTTGAACTTAAATTGCTATTAATCTTTTGAATAACATAGAAATCCAAGATATTAATTTAAATCATCATTAAACTTCATTGTAGTGTGCCATTGAATTAAATCCTATTGATTAAATTAAATTTTTAAGTAAAATGGGTTTAGTTGTCCATAGAACTAATTACAATAATTTTGAAGCAGCAAATGAAATCTTTAACAAGGATCACACAACTTTAAAAGGAGAAAAAGCAAACAAAAAAAGTATACATATGGATATGAGAAAAATAATAATTTGTGTTTAAAAAAAAAGCGACAATAAAAAAATAAAACACAAATTAAAACAAACCAGCATTGTACCGACTCCCTTCTCAGAATAAAGGTGCAAATAAATGGAAAATGAGTGGGAAAACATACCTGTAACACTGTACCCATAATAGGCAAGTTTAGAGTGTCTCCAGGAACTGGTAGAGGCCACTGATCGATGTCATGACAAGCTGGAGATGTTTTTATTATGGAAATGGTTAGCTGCAAAAATTTCACAATTGTACAATTGATGCTATTTTTATCTAGTACAAAATATAGCTAAGCCTTTTGGAGTTTATTTTTAAAGATAACAAATATAACTGACCAAATGAGAAGTTTTTATTATACTTGTTCTTGATTTTATCTTATTCGCTTTTGATATTGAGTTTTTTCATTGACTTTTGTGATAAGGATTTGTCAATGTTGAAATATACATAAGACATACCAGCTTCAAGACTAGGCTCCCCATTGTCAAAGTACTCAGGGGATATAATACTGATCACTTGATTGAATAAGGCCACGCAAGGCAGTTTAGTGATTAGCACTACTGACTGTAGATAAAAGAGCTTTGAAAGTTATCCTTGGAAAATATTGATATCATTACTTAAAATTAAAAGAATTTAAATAAATACCAGCAAAATCAGCTGATAAAGTTAATCTTTCTTTATAATTTAAATTTGTAATAAAGGGGTAATTCAATTTCTATATGACCATTATATTAAACCTGGCATTGTACTTGTTAGTAACAACAGTGATATATGTTTATGAAAGCATTATGCAGTACATTAAAGATACAAAAAAATTTAGTTTTTATATGTTATTCTTCTCATATATGATAAAATTTCTTACTTCAACCACTTTAAAACTTAATTAAACCATTGTTGAAAATATTTGTTTGCCGTTTCAGGAGTCAGTCATAAATGAGAACATTTTTTAACAATATTATTTTAAATTAATTAACCTTTTGAAAATATCCTCTTCTTATGGATCTGTCTTTTGTCTGTCTGAAGTACACAAATCCATAGTAGTGGGCATCATCCAACTGGTAAAAAACATAATTTAATATATAATAGAATCTATACATTATCATTAATCTCATTGAAATTTTTTTTAGTCCATGTGAAAAAAACAAAGAATTAAATCAATTAAAAGTATATAAATTTGCAACATTGAAGGTTTGATATAATTAAACAGGTTAAAATGTAAACACACTTGCAATGATACAGGACAGTCCCTGTTGTACTGGCTATGGGCTCTAACAGGTGGTTTTCTACCAGGACACTGCCGTATCCGGAAGTGAAACTGTGTATCACCCATACATCCTATTAAATTATGTAAATAATAACTTATAGCATTATTTCAAAAAAAGTTGTTGTTTTTTTTTTTAAGTAAAAAATATTTATCTGCATGAAAGACAATTAAATATAAAAAGTCATCTTTTTTTATATTCTTGATTTGTTTTGTACTTTAAACTTCATGGCGGTTTATACATATATATTATAATGCAATTTGTCTGATATTTCTTTCAAACTTTTTAAGCCTTTTAACTTATTTTCATAGTTAAGTGGTCAAACAAAAATCTGTTGATTCTAAGACATGTTACTGTTACTAATTTTGCTTTGAGGTTTGAAACATATAAAGTGTTCTAAATAATTTAACATGCTAAATAGTGAATTTTTCTAATCACTTCAACTGCTAAATGACTCACCAGAATTAGAATCGGGAAAAGAAAGATAGCATATGTTCATTTTCTGTTGAATAAAAAAAACTTATGTTAGTTTTATGTTCCTAATTTCAATATTCTATTTACAAAGCATGAATGGTAGGACAATTTTTAAAGGTCTTCAATAAATTTTTCAAGATTTTCAGAGTTTCTACAAGAATGTAATGATGGCAAAATGTGAAGAGACCGTGCTTCTACTCAAATGTTAAAAAACAGTTTTATTATTAAAATTTCACTTGAAAATAATAACTAATTCAGTAAAGCACAGTTATTATCAAAATAATTTTTTCTTATATATATTTTATTGTTCCTTACCTCTTTGTCAGTTAAAGTGACATGTCCTGGATAAATGAGCTGTTAAATAGGAAAAAATAAAATGTTTAATCTATACATACACACTGTGTATCAGGCCTTAGGGCAATGGTTCTCAACAAAAATAATTTTCGGGTTGGGGCCACCGCAACATGAGGAACGATATTAAAGGGTCCCAACATTAGGAAGGTTGAGAACCACTGCCTTAGGGTAAACCTTTATTAAGGCAAATAACTGGGTACAAAAAAAGAAGTGAGCACTATTCATTCACTCAAACTCAAGCATTTGAACCTTGCTGTTGCTGCCCTGCTCTCATACCACCTATGTTGCTGGCACCACCTACATTCAAACATGGAAAATTAACCATAATACGCATGTTTCTTTCAAGTTGACATATAAAAAATAGTTGCCTACATTAGTACATTAAGATTTAAGATATAGTTCAAGTAGCCTTCCATCAGACTTGAGATTACAACCAGTGAAATATCCTCTTCAATATCATTATCAGGCACAGAAACATTGCGAATCCCCTCTACATACACAGGAGACAGAATAATCAATACATTTATCATGGCAACTTAATACATTTTGAAGAAGAATATGAATAGGCCTAATTATTTTATAAGTACCCAGTAGAGACAATGACACGACTAAGAGTATCCCTAACATTTAAGCAGGAGGGCCATGAAGTAGTACTTGTGAAAGTACTAGTTAAGTCTTTAAAATGTTAATCATGAATAACTAGTGAAAAGTAGTTAGAAATAGCCCCAGTTTAAGTTGTTTTTGTATACTCTATGTATTGATTTGCTCTATCCATTTGTGGTAGAAACTCGCATCTCTTCCCACATCTACCCACTTTCTGACATGCATTTGAGCTGAACTTTATACACTTCCACACCCCCTATGGCAATTAGAGACCGACCGAATTTCGGCTTCGGCGCCGAAAGTGGCCATTTTATCACTTTTGGCCTAGTTTCGACCGAAACTGAAAAGTTAACTTTCGGCTTATTCTCGGTTTCGGACGAAATTGGCTTAGACTTTCGGCCATCTGGCCGAAAGGGACTGAGGTTTTCGGTCATCTACCAGAAGTCAGACGGTCTGTCTGTCTCTAGGTCGACAATCTGATATTCATTAGTGATCGATGTCTTGCTGTCATTGTATGTTATATATGACTAATACTCAGCGAAAGCTGCCTAAAGCTGCATGATGACCTACTTGTGCTGTCCTATAGTTCCAAACAAATTACATTTCAATTAGGCCTAGACAAATGTAAACAGTTTAGTGAAGGTGTCTCAAACTCAAATCATCCGGGGGCCGCAGTAGGTAGAGTCTGAGTGAGACTGGCCTGCATCAAGTATTCCACAAAAAAGCAATTACAAATTCATTAAAGTACAACTGTTACAATCTGATCAACCTTTATAAATAACAAATAAAAACGTTAAGGTTTCTCAAGAACTAGGATTCAATTTGTTTCACCTACTCACTGTTGCCAGAGACCTGGCAGCGTTTTTACACAGCTGACCAACTTTGGCTTGAGTGAGGAAGCAAATGAGACCCTCGGTATAGCTTAAACATGCTCATCAGTAAGTTTGGCTTTGAACTTTGAATTGTTATAGTACATAGTGGGAAAAGAGCTTTTCTCACAGATAGGTACTCCCAAAATGTCATATGATTCTCTTGAACAACGTAAAAATTTCAGGGAAGGTGGAGGGAAATGCAATAAAATGTCCATGCTTGTCTGTTTTTCCATTCAGTTCCCCACGGGGGAGCATCTTGCACATTAAAGGACAAAGGGTCAGCAAAAAGCTGAAAAGTGGCTGAAATACTGTCTTGCGGGTCACAAATGGCTCGCGGGCCGAGAGTTTGAGACCCTTATATTAGATGTTTATTTATTAATATTCACGATTATCTCATTTTTATAAAAAGAATGTAAATATTGATACTTTCCCCCATCATTTTCGATGTATGCAGAATGTATGAGGAGAAAGAATTTCAAAATATCCAAATATTTCATTTTCGGTTTTGGATTCGGTTACGGCCGAAAGTCATTTTTAACTTTCTGCCTATTTTCAGTTTCGGCCGAAAGTCATTGTTAAACTTTTGGTCTATTTTCGGTTCTGGCCAAAATCAGAAAAATCACTTTCAGTGGGTCTATAATGTCAATACAAGCTTTCATGATCAGTGGGTCACCAGTGACCTCCAGTGATCCTTGAGTGACCTCTGTGGATATCTCAAGAACAGAAAGTGATAGGGCCATCGGGTTTTCACTACAGCATGGTTACTCGTTCCCGATAGCAATCAAGGATGAGAAACAAAATTTTTACCACAGAAAGGTCACAACTGACCATTCATATATTTGATTTTCATGGGCGCTCCACGCTTTTTTAGTTATTGTTTCAACCCACTTCCTGAGCTCCTATTACATCTTCCAAGACTAAAAAGTACAAAATAAAAATTATTAAAAATATCTTTAAAAATAAATACTTTTCCAAAAACGTACTAAAAATTCAAGTATAAATAAATATCCCCCAAAACTTCTGAGTTGTTACGACCATGGGGCGACCATGAAATACAATGTCCAAATCAATGTCATCATATCTCTTGACAAATTCAATGTTTGACAATTGCATACATTTGAATTATAATTGCCCACTCCAATCGATCATGAGTGATCTTGACAATAAGGGGCCATCCATAAATGACGTTACGCAAACTTTGCCGATTATTTTAACAACCCCCCCCCCCCCCCCCCCCCCCCCCCCAAAAAATTAGACTACCCCTCAATACCTCCGCTCACTACTGTCTTTTATAAACCCCACCTGTGTCAGAAACATTTCCTTAGAACAGTGGTTCTTAACCAGGGGAGACAAGAAAATTGTATTTGCTGCCATTGCTAGTTGTTGTTGCTTTTTTAAAAAAAATCAGTCCTTATGCATTTTTGTTAGCAGCAGTAGATGTTTTCCTTGAGAATTTTGTTTGCCCATTGCTTGTATTTGGTAGTTTTTTTCCTTGTTTATAAAAGTTAACAAAATCAATAAAACTACGATAACTAAATTATTTAATGATTTTCATATTTTTATTTTATTACAATATAATTTTTTACTGTGGGGGGAACGCAACCCTCCCCCCCCCTCTCCCCAATTTCAACCCTTTTTTCATTCCATCCCACTTCACGTGGTAGTCCTAATTCTATGTTTCCTGACTCCACATTTTGACATAAATTCTCTCGACTGTTAATGTCACGATATCCATTTTCTACTTCTCCATGGCAGCCTTTTCTCATTTCTCAGACTTCGCATACCCATACTGATTCTCTCAGTGATTGTAGTTTGAAAATAAATTAATTATAATAATTGTTGTATAAAAGAAAATTTGTTAAAATGTACGTAATTTAGGCAATTTAGGGTTATTTAGTGCACTTTTTACTATACTACTCCGCTTTTCGTGTGACGTCACATTTTTAAGTCAAAGTCCCCCCGGCCCCCCTCATCACAAAAATGTGCCCCCCCCCCTAGATGCGCGACTGTGGCATCATTTATTATTTATGGATGGCCCCCAAATGGAATATTAGTGATACTGCTGCATGCATTTTTTGTAGGCATATCATATGACAATACTATGATGGTAATAGGTAACAACTCTGAAGTTTTGGGGGGCATTTATTTAATTTTTTACACCTTCAGGTAAATTTTTGGAAAAGCGTGTTTTTTTTAAAAGTACTTTTTAAAATTATTATTTATTTTTAAATTGAGCTTCTGTTGAATAATTCAACGATAACGTCTTAAGTCTTTGTTTAAGTAAAATTGTAACTTACTAAGTTACAATTTAAATTACAACACTACACTTCTACACTTACACTCACTACACTCTACACAAGTAGTCCTAGGACTAGTATTATCGTCTATAGTGAGACTATACTAAACTATACTATAGAGATACTTTAGTCAATAGTCAGTACAAGACAAGTACAAGGCAAAATAAATAGAGTTTAATATAATATTTTTTAAAGAAATTAAAACCTCCATAGCTTGGCCTAGTTCCAAATCAAATGTGACAACACATGCACAGTGAATCCAGTTGTTAAACCGATCCCACGGTAAAATTGCAAGATTTTTATTTGAGTGATCATCATCAGCAATTATATTATTTTCGGCAGGTTCTAATGATTTGGTATCCATCTTTTTTGGTTTATAGACATAACTGGAAGTCTCAAATCCATGATTCATAAAATAGATATTTCCTTCTTGGAAAAACATTTTTTTCAAAGAAATAGTTAAAATGAATTGAAAAAAATATTTTAAAATGTTCCAATATTTTTTTGGAGACAAAATTATTTGTAAAACTATTCTTTTCGCATATTAAAGTGGTACATTTTTTGGAAGGGGTTGGAGACTACTAAGTCTAACCAAAATGGCCGTCTCTTAGAGGAAGAAAATAATGTAGGGCAACATAAAATGGTATGTTAAGTTTTCCTTATTTTGTGTTCCTCTTGTATTGTTATTTTAATATCCCGGCAGCGTTGCCATAACTAATTTAGGTTCGTTCTCAAAATTGTTCTTCGAAATATGTTTTTAATGCGTGTATTTAGTTTACTTGGCAACCACAACGAGTCAGTGGAGTGTGGAGCCAGGACCAGTACTTAGTAGTTTGATTTGTAATACGGTTCTAAACAAAAGTATATGAAGCAGATTAGTAGGCGCAGCTCTTGGTTAAAGTTGGTTATGTGAGATGTGTTTTATCCTTCTAAATCTCTAATATCTAGGTTTAATAACGGTACACTGTGTCATAGAATATTAATCAACCACGTCCACTGTTATTATAGTAGGCTATAGACCTCAGTCTCATGTAAATCACCACACAGTCACAGTGACAGTATCTGTAAATTGTAAATCATGTCATGTTTAGTTTACAGAAGTTGTACTGGTATTGAAAACAGTTGTCTCATCTTAAGAGCTGTGATTGTAATGTCACTTTGGGGGAATCTAAACACTCAACTTAGGGTAAATAGACCAATATTTGGACATGAACTATGAGTATGATAACTTGCCAGTTCTTTGTTGAGCATTATCATTAATCATTAGTATTAGGCGAGTCCATTAATTACTTCAACAATTTGTACGCAATTTTACCCCCTCCCCCTCCTTTCAACAACTGTCAAATTTTCAATGACCCCCCCCCCCCCCCTTCAAACAACTGTCAAATTTTAAATGCCCCCCCCCCCCCCCATATAACAATATTATGGTAAATTTTGGGTTAATGGTATGGGTTTTGCCAAGAGTTGTCTCACCCTAAGTGCAGTGACGTCACTTTGGGGAATCCCAACACTGGACTTAAGGTGAAAAGACCTATTAATTGTAGGACTGAACGATGTGTGTGATAACATTCCTGTTCTTTACTGAGCATTGCTCGCGTCATAAACCATATGGTTAATATGAAGTATATTAAAATGAAATTTTGCATTAATTTGTATTAAAATTCAACTTACACATTTCAAAAGAAAGAAAAAAACACAAATCCTTGCTGATACCCCAAGACCCAACACCGGTGGAAAAAAAAAAAGATGCACATCAAAAATCCGAAGTATCCCTATGTAATAAAAGGGAGACTGCTGCTTAAATTGCATTTGGAATGATCTTCTCTGGACAGGGGAGGGGAGTTCTCCCCTCCCCAAACCCCGTCCCCCACTTTAAATACCAAAACTTTTTTGAGTACGGCGCTGTATACGGAAGTTGATTGGTGGAAACCTCTGTGACCTATATACCGTGGAACACATCGACGGCCTTACCCCTAACTCAAACTCAACCTAAATTATATATTTAGCTTTAATAATAATTTTACATAATACACAAGAAAACATTTCAGCACATGCCTTCATCAGTATAACAACGAAACATTTAAATAAGTATAAATTAAATTTACATAATACATAATATGTATATAAATGTATCATCCTACCTAAAAAAGAGAAAAAAGTTGAGAATGGGAGTGGGCGCAAAACTCAAACAAAGAAAAGAAGAATGGAAAGGAAGTGATTTGAAGTAAAATGTAAAAACCAAACAGGAAATAGACACGGCAGCTACATAAAATTGTGGATTTGGTATATCCCAAAGTCATATATATACAAATATTAGTAACTGCGATGTCTAAAATTCCATCATGGTCAGTGCTATTGAAACATTTGGAGACTGGACAAATATCTTATTTATATATGTTATTTAAGTAATTATGTCAACATTTTATCCCCCACCCCCCAACCAAAAAAGAATTTGATTTCAATTTTTTAAAAATAATTTAATTTAATTTAATATTAATATATAATATACATAAAAATATAAATTATTAAATACATTTTACTTTATGCTGATCTATATGAATGACACATGAAATTGTTGGAAAAAATGTTATTACATCTTTAGTTTGCTACTCGCATTGGTCGAATCCTTTTTTGTTGAGGAGCAGGTGGTAATTTCTTATGCTCAAGAGTGCATTGTTGAACATGCTTTTTCAACATGAGTTGTGATGAAAAATAGTTGTTACAGATTTTGCAAATCAGTTCAAGCAGTGGTTATTATTGTTACTTTAATTTCCCCTTTTTCTCAAAATATCGTATTCCTACTCTATCAGTATCATTTTTCTTGACTGCATGTGACACTTGAACCTTGTCCTTGTTCCATACCTGCGACATGATCGCAAACATACCACCCTAGTCATTTGCGACAAACAGAATCTACAGGTGAAGAGAGGCCAACTTTTGACTTCTCTTGCACTAACAAAGTGTGCTAACATTCGTACCAGCCATCTGCAATGCACAGGCAGACACATATTAAATAAAACTTATATTGTTAAAAGCCTTAGAATTATATGATTATTTACAATTATTCTTTTTTGTAAAATAGCCTCCCCAAGAAAGGTAACCTACAGCTAAGCCAAAACTATTGCACCATTAGCATAATAAGCCATCCAAGCAAGGCCATGCTGAAGGTCATATTAAACCGACTAAGTTCATATGCTGACAGAATCATTGCTGAAGAACAGGCGGGCTTCAGGCAAGGACATGGCACTACTGAGCAGATCCTAAACCTCCGATTACTATGTGAGAAATATGCTCAACAAAACGTATACCACATCTTTGTGGATTTCAAGAAGGCATTCGACAGGGTTTCACATGCTCCTTTATGGGCAACCATGAGGCACTACAACATAAGGCCACTAGTGCAGTCTTCTTCAACAATAACGTCAGAGATTGGTTCAAGTCCACGGTACCACAAGGCTGCTTGCTTTCCCCCACCCTGTTCAGCATCTTCTTAAAGAGCTTTATGTCAGATGTATGGAAACACATGTAGGGACAGTCAGCATTGGTGGCCGAACAATCACCAACCTACGCTTTGTAGATGACATAGATGGACTGGCTGGAAACGAAGAAGAGCTAGCCAACCTAATAAAGTGCCTCGACAAGACTTCATCGTCCTTTGGCATGCAAATCGGTGTAGAAAAGACAAAATTGATGACAAATAATACTACCGACATCTCCACTGAAATTAAGGTTGGGGGGGGGGGGGGGAAAAAAAGTACATAATTTGAAGTACCTAGGAGCAATAGCCTCAGAAGAAGGCTCCAAGCCCGAATTGATGTCCAGGATTGCCCAGACCACAGCGGCACTAAAGAGGCTTAAGAAAATATGGAATAACAAACATATAGCCTCCAGCACCAAAATCAGGCTGATGTGCTCATTAGTCCACTCCATTTTCTTGTATGCCTGCAAGTCCTGGACATATAGAGCAGAACTTGAAAGAAAAATCAAGGCGATTATACAGCAGAACTTGAAAGAAAAATAAAGGTGATGGAGATTAGATGTTTCAGAAGCATTCTCGAAATCGGCTATAGAGACCATATCTCCAATGAACAAGTGAAAGAAAGGATTCATCAAGCAATGGGACTGTATGATGACCTCCTGGTGACTGTATAAAAGAGCAAACTGGAATAGTATGGCTACGTAACATGAAAACAAGGACTCGTCAAAGAAATCATGCAGGGCACAAAGAGAGGAGGGAAGGAGGGAGAAGAAGAGGAAGACAGAGAAAAAGATTGGAAGTTAACATCAAAGAGTGGACGGGACTAAAACTAGGCGATGCTGTGCAAAGTGCAAAAAACAGAGAGGAATGGAGAAGAATAGTTTTCATGTCATTTGTAGCAGTCCAAGGACTAAGGGAAATGATGATGATGTAATAACCAGTCAATTTTTAAAATTTTAATGGAGAAAACATGATTGTTGACATCAATTAATCTACCTTTCCCTTTTGTCAACGATTGTCAAACACCCCACCCCCCCATTGTTGACATAATTGACGCCCCCTTAATGGCATCATTAACTAAATCTGACAGTTATTATCCCCCCCCCCACCCCCCATTTTGTTGACATAATTGACGCCCCCTTAATGGCATCATTAACTAAATCTGACAGTTATTATCAATTAAGTTTATCTGAAATCTATTTAAGTATATTAGTATTAAAAGGAAATAATCCATTCGTTTTTTAAAATTAAAGTTGTAGTTATAAGGTTCAAAAGAATTTTTTTTTAAAACTATCTATGCTTATATATACTTGTACATAAAAACCACAATGAACAAGACATGCCGCTAACAGTGCTATCTTTTGGGTGGTTGAAAAAAGAAGTACATTTATACCATTCATTTAAATCATTTTGCTATTTCAAATAAGTACAGAGCTCAAAATCAAAATATTTTGAATAAGGTACTATGTCTGGAACCTATATACTGTAGAAGACTTCTCAGGCCATACCGCCAACTAAGGTCTAGCCGATAAAATAACACATTTAACTGTATTGTATAGCTTAGTACTTAGTAAACTACTAAATTAGAGTCTACTTACACTTAGGACTTCGTAGTACTATTGTACAGAATTATTACTAGGCCTATATTATATTTTATTGGAATGTACTGATTAATTTATTAAGCACTTAGTCTGATGCCTAAAATTTGTAGTCCTAACTTAGGCCCTAATTTAGGAAATTTTCATAGCTTTTCCTAATTAACTGTTACTTAACTAGCTAAACTTAACATAGACTACTTACTGTCTTAGTAAATAAACTTGAATCCAATTTTAATCAAAGTAGCTAGAATCTAAAAAGAAAAAAATTAGAAATTGACTATGTACAATATTAATA